TGGGGGCAGGGCGCGGACGGCGCACCCTCGGGCCGCACCGAGCAGAGCCGGGCGCCCCCCGGCCCGGGAGGGTCGGCGCAAGTGTGGGGTTTATGCTTTGACCCCGGCTCCCGTTAGCCTTGCCCGGCCTCCCCCGGGACCCCTCCCTCCCGACGTCGTGGCCACCCTCGCAGATTGCACGTAGCAAGGGTGCCAGGCTGTCTGGCGGGGCGGCTGGCGAGCAAGCCCAGGCTGTGTTCTGGGCGCCCGGGCTGGTGGGTGGTCCCAACCCGCAGACTGCCCTGCCGATCGGTCGATCGATCGATCGATCGATCTGGAGCCCCGCGTTCCTTTCTCAGCCTGGCCCCGTGGCCCCGAGGCTCGGACTGACACCTGAGGTAGACCAGTCCCTTCACTTCTGACCGGTGTTGGGGTTTTTTCGTTTTGAATCTTTTGGGGACCGCAGACAGCCGCTGTCCCCGCCCCTGTCCACAACAGGAACGCCCACATTCCTCTGTGACTTGAGCCCGGGATCTTTTCCGACAACGTTAATCCTTTGACCGCCGCGTGTTGTGCCGAGGAGAGCGTCGGCTTTTTAATTATTCTCATCGAATTAGCTGTGTGCAGAAGGAACTTAGTTTGGGAAGACACCCAAGCCAAGATCTTAAAAGCAAAAAAAAAAAACCCTGCCACAATTCTGTGCTCTGAATAACACCTTTGCTTCCGTTTCCCTTGGGAAAAATGTTTTAATACTCCACAATGCAAGTCAGTAATTTAACTGCCATTTAGTGTTAATTTTTTTTCATCTACCTATAGGCAAGTGTGGCCTGCTAGAGAAATAAAAAAACCCAAACGGCTTTTCCCCCTATTGTTCCTATCCCAGGTTTTAAGAGCAAGGAATTCACAATTGGGATCCACTTCATGGGTGCTCATCAAGAGGGGAAGTTTGAGACTAAATTGCAAAGATAGTCCTAAGAAAGGATGAATTTCTCTGCGTTTTTATGATTTATTGAAGTTAATTGCTTGGCAGCCTGCCTTGCTGGGAGTGGGGACAGTGTGTGTGTGTCTGAGCCCATATAAATGTCATTAGAGAGAAACAGCCAGTTAGTTACCTGTAGATTTCTCAAGCGTGTGTTACTGCTAAAATTGTGCACAAAAGTATGCAAGCTATTTCAGATACAGAACTCCACAAAAAGTTAATTAAGTAGGCCCGTTTGGTACCAAAGCTGTTTTCTAACCGGATTTTCATTGTGTTGGAGTTACTCATGGCCATCAACACTCCTGTGCTGATAGTTTATTCTGCCGGTTCATGATATTTGGGGAACAATGCTTTGGAACCCTAGGAAGGTGTCTTTGCGTAAATGCTAGGTGAAGGTTCTGTGCTGGGTGAACTGAAGACGTTTTCTTTGTCTGTGATCAGGAGAACCAAGACACCCAGGAAACCTC